TTTGCCTGTTTTCCTTTGCTTAGTTTCATGTTTTGATTTTTTTCCTTTAAAAATATTTCTGTGAGTTTAAAATTTTTTATAGCTACCATAAATTAGCAATTGGATTTTCTCTCCCGTAAGCATCTATTTTATAAAACAGTTATTAGAGGGCTAGTACAAAAGTCTCATAGGTGGTTAGTTATCAGACATTAGGGTGCATCAGTCACCAAGCTCCTATCTGGGCATGAGTAAACCCTGAAGAAAGAATTAAAGGGTGAAGAAAAAGAAATGGTTTATAGATATGTAGGATAGGTTAAGTTGGCTGGATTTTTTTCTTGCTATTCAAGCAGAATTAAATTTCCAGACTTTCACAATAGTGATTTTTACAATACATAAGCATGTGTGTGTGTGCATGTGTGTGGAAATGAGCTTTCATAGGTATTTCTCATTTTGGGTACTTGGATAGTATCTTAAATTTAGCTAGAGGAATGGCTGAAGTTCTTTTTAAAATAAATTATGGTCCAGACCATAGAGCAGCAAACTCTGTGTCCCTTCTGTTTTGAAGGGGCAGATAACAAAATATTTTCAGCTTCTGGACCATAGGGCCTCAGCAGTTCCTCAGCTCTGCCGCTCTAGTGCAGGAGCAACCACAGACGGTACGTAAATGAATATGCATCTCTGTTCAAACAAAACTTTACGGGCATTGAAATTTGATTTCATGAGTATAATCACTCATTTAAAATTGTCCAAACCATTCTTAGGTCATGGGTCACACAAAAACAGGTAGTGGTGTGGATTTGCCTGTGGACTATAGTTTGCCAGCCTGTGGTGTAGACCACAGAATTACAGACTTCTTCTGACTTTAGCCACATACTCTCTTCTTTTCTGAGGATATAACATGTTAAGTATGAAGTAAAGAATTTTAGTCTCTAGAATATTACATGCTAAAATTGCTAATAATGAGTATACTATATGTTTTAGGGACTGGTTTCAAACTGTAAAGTTTTTATGTTGTCTTTTAATGAAATTTTGCTTATTGAGGAGAATCTCCTTTTTGCCTGTATTTCTTGCAATATATGAATTCTGAGTTTTAACAGTGGGATGTTTGGGGTTTTTCTAATTAAGTGGGGAAAAAGGTGATATGCTTCTGACATTGTATTTTTCTACATATGAAAAGAGTTTTCATTTCACTTGCAGCTAATAAATAGTAGTTTAGCTCTGACTGGTGTAGCTTAGTGGATTGGGTGTTGTCTGGCAAAGCAAAATGCTGCCAGTTCAATTCCAAGTCAGGTCACATGCTTGGGTTGCAGGCCAGGTCTCTGACATCAGTGTTTCTCTCCCTCTCATTCTCCCTCCCTTCCCCTATCTCCAAAAATAAATAGATAAATAATATTAGTTTATCCAAATTAAACTTTTATACTGTTGCTTTCTCACTTGACATGTTTTCTTTAAAAGAACTGTAAGTAATCACGGTTCGATTCCCAGTCAGGGCACATGCCTGGGTTGCAGGCCAGTTCCCAGCAGGGGACACACGAGAGGCAACCATACATTGATAGTTCTCTCTCTCTCTTTCTCTTTCCCTCTGAAGATAAATAAATAAAATCTTAAAAAAAAAAAAAAAAGAACTGTAAGTAAGAAATGGAAGTATTTTATTTTAGGACTTCCAGTCAAGATGGAGGTGTAGGTAAACATGCTTCACCTCCACACACAACTATAGCAAAAAATACAACTAGACCACAAAATAAATATCACCCAGAATTGTCAGAAAATCTAGCTATGTGGAAGTCGGACAACCAAGGACCGAAAGCAGCCACATTCATCCAGACGGGCAGAGGCACGGAGAGGTGTGGAGACGGGAACCAGTGGTCCCACATCCATGTGTGGTGGATAAAGAACGGGAGGGATGCCTTGGGAGCAAGGAGTCCCAGTCCGGACCACCCACCCCAGGGTCCCAGTGCCAGGAAGATAAGTCCCCATAACTTCTGGCTGTAAAAACCAGTGGGGGTTGGGGTAGTGGGAAAAAATGCAGTATTGTCCAGAGACTTAAGGCCTGCAATGGACTTAGGACTCATGCAGACCCACCTCCTCTGGGATTCAGCACCAAGGCAACAGCTGGAAAAGCTCCAGTGGCATGTGGGGAGGAAATGAAGTGATAGTGCCAGGATACAGCTTCCTCCCAGGCAACACTCCAGAGGCTAGGCAGTGGCACTGTCCCCTCTGCAAGCCCTCCCCACACAGGAACAGAGCAGTGGACACGGGTTGCTCTGCTCTGGTGATTACCTAAGTCTCTGCCCCAGACAGTGTAACAGGTGCACCTTTTTACATACACCACACTTCTAAGACGGAGTGAAGGCAGCTCTACCTAATACCAGAAATAAACACAGGGAGGCTACTAAAATGAGGAGACAAATATGATGCAAATGAAAGAATAGAATAAAACTCTAGAAAATGGACTAAAAAAGAAATGGAGATCGGCAGCCTATCAGATACACAGTTCAAAACACTTATTATCAGGATGTTTCAGGGACTCATTGGGTACTTCAAAAGCATAAAAAAGACACAGGCAGAAACGAAGGTTGCATTAAGTGAAATAAAGGAAAGTCTATAGGGAACCAGGAGTGGAGAGATTAAGCGGAGAATCAAATCAACAGTTTGGAACACATGGAAGGAAAAAGCATTTAGTCAGAACAGCAGGAAGAAAAAAGAATTAAAAAAAATGAGAATAGGCTTAGGAACCTGTGGGTCATCTTTAAATCTACCAACATCCAAATCATGCCAGAAGGAAAAGAGGAAGAGCAAGAAATTGAAAAACTTATTCAAAATAATGAAAGAAAACTTCCCTAATTTGGTGAAGGAAGTAGACATATAGGTCCAGGAAGCACAGAGAGTCTGAACAAGATGAACCCAAAGAGGACCACATCGAGACACATCACAGTTAAAATGCCAAAGGTTAAAGATAGCGAATCATAAAAGCAACAAGAGAAAAGCAGGCAATTACCTAGAAAAGAGTTCCCATAAAACTGTCAGTTGATTTTCTCAAAGGAAACTTTTCAGGTTGGAAGAGGCTGCAAGGAAGTATTCAAAGTCATGAAAGGCAAGGACCTATATCCAAGACTATTCTATCCAACAAAGCTTTTATTTAGAATAGAAGGGCAGATAAAGTGCTTCCCAGACCAGGTAAAGCTAAAGGAGTTCATCACCACCAAGCCATTATTACTGGTATATGAAATGCTAAAGGGAATTATATAAGAAAATATCAAAACAGTGAACATTAAAATGAGAATAAATTCACAACTAATAATTGAATCCAAATAACTAACCAGACAAGCAGAACAGAAACAGAATCATGATATGGGAATCCTTTGGTGGGTTACCAGTTGAGAACGGGAAAAGGGGGAATAGGGAGAAAGGTGCAAAAACTAAGAAGAATAAATTTGTAGGTACAAAATAGTGGTCTGTTAAGAACTGTTCAGGAAATGGAGTAGCTAAAGAGTTTATATGCATGACCCATGGACATGAACTAAGGGGGGGATTTCTGGAGGGAATGGGGGCACCAGGTGGAGGAAGGCAAGGGGTAAAAAAGTGTAATAGAATAATCAATAAAGTATATATTTAAAAAGATAATAAAACAAGATGGTGTGATATGGGGGGCAAAGGGGGGGAATGGTGTCCATGATAAACAATAAAAATAAAGTATTTTAAAATAAGATATTTTAATGTAAAACTTAATTTCTCAACTTTCATATCATTGGAATAAACATTTTGATAGAGATTTTATTTGTACTTTGTCGATTTCTTCAGAGCTATCCATAGCAGAATATGTTTCCAATATTTTACTATACAAAATTTCAATATGTTGACTTTATTCCTGGCCCTTAAATTAAAAAAATGAAATTAAAATAATACTCCATTTTAGAAAGTTGAACACTATCTGTTATTATTTCATTTACTTATGTTTAGATTCTTATATTTATAAAAAACTTAAACTTTTTATACCTTAGCAAGCATTTAGTGACCTCGTGCTGTGTATGAGGGCCATCCTTTGCATATACTCATGCTCATTAGATGCGGAATTAGGTGAAGTTCCCTATGCCCAGACTTTTAATGATGTTTGAGTATATTTTACACATAAGCGATAGAAAGTTTAAGAATTTTGTAGAAGTAAAATTTTATTTTAACAAATATTAAAAAGATATATTCTGTGTAATAAAGCAGTTATTTTGGTAGATCGCTTTCCCATATAATTTTTATGGATCTGACTAGAATAATTTAAAATGAAAACATGACTTTTCTCTTTATTATCAGTTAAACTCAAGTTTTTAACACAAAACTTATTTGTATGATCTTTTACTGTAGGCTAGGAAATTGTTCTTAGTGGTAGAACAGTTTTGTAAAGATCTTTTTTATTTCCATCAACAGTAATTTTCTTATAACTTTTCACTTCTGAAACTATTCTGATCCCTCCTAAACCCATCTGAAATTCTTTTCCAAATATCTCCAATAAACATTTTCCTGGGAACCCAGTAATTTATAAAAAATAAAGTTGTGTAGGGGTAGGAATGCCATCTGTTTCTGTGTCGAGGTTATACGATTGATTTTGACTTTGAAACCAGAACTCAGCATTATTCCTTTGTCAGAGCATTTAGATAGTTTCTATAAATTAATTAGTTTAATAAAAGTTCAGTGTTAATATAATAATTAGGTTTTACGTTAGGGTTTTGTCATTAAGTTCTAATTAGAGCAATATGTCCAAAGCCCAAATACACTGCTTTCTATCCCTCAGTTTGACTGTTAGTAGTGTCTTAATTTTTATACTATTTAAAATTTTAAACATCCAGAATCAGAGATAGCCACAATAGAGCAGCAACATTTATGGGAAACTCACTTGTATTGGAGACTAGAAGAAAAATTTCTTAGACATATATATTGAAGGCTTTCTATAAAATCTTCCAAATAGTTGTTGCCAAATTTCAACATTATTCATTTGCCTTCATTAAATGGATTTTAATTTCTTTCTCTAGAAAGGGAGTTCTGGGAATTATGTAACAAGTGTAATTTGATGAGACCAAAGCGTTCCCACCACTGCAGCCGCTGCGGCCACTGTGTTAGGAGAATGGATCATCACTGTCCATGGTAAGAAATGAATAATTTACTTTTAGAAAAAACCTAGTTAAAAATATATCATGCCCTGGCCAGATGTCCTAGCTGGTTGGAACGCCATCCTGTACCGTGGAGTGTTGCAGGTTGACTTCCTTTCAGGGCACATACCTAGGTGGTGGGTTCAATTCTCAGTTGGGGAGTGTGTATGGCAGGCAGCTGATCAATTTTTCTCTCTCAAATTGATGTTTCTCTCTCTTTCTCGCCCCCCTTCCTCTCCCTATAAAAATCAATAAGTATATCCTTGGGCGAGGATTAAAAAATAAAATATAAAATAAATCATAGTACCTAGCAGGTTTAAACAAAAGTATTAAGGTGATAATAGTTTAAAAGCATCTTTTAATAAGCATACCTTTGTCTGTGAGCTCCTAGAGTCATTTTTTCAGAGAGATTCTGTTTTTTTCTAACAAGGAGATATTTGATTAGAAAGCTAAGAATTAATGTGCATCACAAATAATGCACGTTAGAACTAAGGTAATTATATTAAATGAGACAGTGTATATAAAGCATTTTGTACAGTGTCTAAGACTTAGAAAGTACTTAAATAGTAGCTCTTGTTTATAACTGTAATGAACCATATACATTACATTGTTTGTATTTCCTTTCCCATTTGTTTAACACATTTCAGGTACCTTGAAATACCTCATTTCTACCCCTTTAAGCCTTTTCACTATTAAGTATTTGAGGTATTAACATAAATGCTGGGTAGCTGGTAAGTGGTAGCCAATTCTGCTAATTTGCCAACATTTTTGGACAATAGGGGGCACTCTTGTAATATTTAAAGAAAATGTTTAGTTGAGAAATAGAATTTTTCAAGCAAATGCTATGAGAATTCTGCATCGTATTTCATTTCAAAGCTTTCACAAAAATCTGTGAACAGATATTATATTTAATTTTGTTTTTCTAAAGTGGAATCTGTATAAATGAAGTGGTATAGTGTAGCATTTATAAATCTGTGTATATACATCTGTATGTTTGTACACACATGCAACATGCATCTATTCAAAGTTAACTATATAATAGGCTTGTTAAACTTACAGCTGCATTTATCTAAACTTGACTCTAGGGAAAAGTTTAGCTTTGCCCAATAATGCTAGTCAATTTAGAGTTTCCCTTATTTTTTGATAACTTACTTCAATAGCACAAGTTATTTGCAAGATTTTAGTGGAAATTTGCATTTTACTGTAAACTGATTACTTAAATGGGGAATAGTTTCCTGAGACTAAGAAAAAAATAAAAGCACTTGAGACAAAAGCACTGTTACTGTATATATATTTCATCAATAAGATTGTATAGGTATAACACATAATTGGTCTTTAAAAATGTGCCTTGAATGTAAACAGATTAATTCTCAAGGGTTTTCTACACCTCAGTTGATTTCTTTACAATTATGACAGTAATAGATTAATAAAAGCTGATAAACTGCTAAGTGGCAATCACACTGAAAAACTCAATTTTATACACTTTTAAGAGCAATGCTCTCATTAACTAAAAATATAATCATATATAGGTGGAGAGTTATACTTTTTAAAGTATGCAATAGTTTAGGCTTAAAGCATAACCAGTGAATTAGAAAATGTTTTAGTACCATAGAGCTTCATCATATTATTTACTTACTTTTAGGGAATGAAGTGAGAAAATGAAGTTCTATGTAGCCTGCACTCCAAGACTGGGATGAGTTCCCTGATTCTAGGGCCTCTAGTTTCCAGTTTAGTCAACTCTTCAGAACGTTGGTGGGAAGAAGAGAGTAAATAGGAGTTGGAGGACAGGAAAGGAGGGTTGACCAGGGGGCCTGAATAGATATAGAGATTTTCATGATTGAATTCCCTAATCTAGAGCACTGTTGAGATATTCAGTGAGGGAAATTGTACAGTGAAATCGGAAACAAGGAGAAATTTTGCTATTTTCAGAAATTGCGTTGTTATAACTGCCTAACAGCTTTAGATTTGGAGGTCACTTCTCAAATCAGCCTAAGATTTTCTCTATTTCTGCTTGTGATCACTCTTTCTATGTAGTTTGTTATAGAAAGAACTCTAACGTACATAGATTGAGTACCTTAGTGTTTCTTAAAGCCCTCTGGTTAAGGAGACTGCCATGATCATAGCAGTTATTTCTCAAATTTAGGGGGACAAGAAGGATAGGACAAGGACAGGCCATCTGTTAAGCAGTATCTGTTGGAGAGTATTTTTTAGTGTGTATGTAAACACACTTTTCTGACTGCCCTGCTTGTCAATAACAAAACACAGGAAAATTTCTTGTGAGTAAAGCATGAGCTCTTAAGTCCGAGAAATTGCCTCTGCAAGGTTTTCTGTTCAATTCTATATCTGATTTAAAAAAATAATTTAAATTAGAAATTGAGCCTATTATAGACCTTTTTTTCAAACAGTGGCAATATAATACTATATTGAAATAAAAACATTTGTCAGGATAAGTTAGTTTTGAATTAGGGTTTTCTACTGGAATCGTAAAGTGTTTTGAAAATTTAGGTGAAATAAGTTTTGGAACAAGAAAATATTCAGCTTGCATTAGCTTTGAAAATTTTGGGATTATAGCATTAATCATTATTCCCAGTTATGGTTCTTCACTGTTCTATTGCTAGAAGCGTGCACTAAGAATTTGTAAATAGTTGTGGATATGTTTATTTTTAGCAACCAAGGATAGGTTTTAAAATAAGAAAAATTGTGAATGCTTAGCAGTTATGTCAGATTGGCAGGTTTAAGTTATTTTACTCTCATTCAAATTGCTCTCGAAGCTAGAATGCTGTAATGGAAGAGCAATATATGGAAGGGGGTTCTAGTTTCTGAGCCAGTGACTAGCCGTACGTACTCTGGCAAGAGTCTCAACTTCATACATCTCTGGTGGGTTTAACGGCTTTGTTCCTGTTTCCACATCAGTGGAACAAGGAGGCTGCATCTGCTCTGCCTGCCTGGCTGGGTGGCTGAGAGCTGAGGGGGTATCATGGGCTTCCTTTTGTAAAGTATGAATAGAAAGTGCTTTACAAATGTGAGATGGCGTGTTTCTATCTTTTTTCGTGCACTGTTTGCTTTCAGTTTTGAGTGACTTCAGCCTATCTTCGTGAAGTTAAGCATATAAGAAGTTCTTTATGTTTATTTTTAGTTTGCCAATTCTGAAATTAACATCTTATAAGAGTTTAAAATTTTGTTTTTTTATTTTTTCTTCAGGATTAACAATTGTGTTGGTGAAGATAATCATTGGCTCTTTCTGCAGTTGTGTTTCTACACTGAACTTCTTACTTGCTACGCACTGATGTTTTCTTTCTGCCACTATTATTACTTTCTTCCACTAAAAAAGCGTAACTTGGTAAGAAATTTCTATGTCCACTATGTTAGAGCAGCTATGACATATAGCTATCAACATGTGGTTCCTTTAGGGAAGGGTGAAAAGTAACAAAAGTAAACCCCCAAAGTAATAGATTTTAAAATTCGGGATTGAGAAAGTAGACCCTAATCAGACATTTCCTTTTCACCAAATCCACTTATGATTATTTATTAATGTTGAATGACTTTCTTTAAAAAGTAACATAATAAATCATTTGGTATGTATGTTTTGGTTTAAAATATTGACAATGAAAAACAGTGAAAAATGTTAACTTATTTCTTTTCAGGAATAAAAATATACTTAATATTTTCAAGTTTTTCAAAGGAACTTGAAATGGATGAGGAAGAGGACTTCCCTGCCCAACTTTTAACAGTAGCAGTATGTAAGATGCTTCAGAAAGCTGTTGTATATGCCGCTTCAGGCAGGGCAGTGCTTTTCCTGTTCTGTAGAGAAACTGCAACAGATGTTAGTAATACCTGCCCAAATAGGAGCACCTGGGATTTTAAATCCTTGACTACATATTAACACTGTGCCGTGAGCACGTCATTTTAATTCTCTAATGCTCGTAACAACTACTTGAAGTGGGTACAATTTTCCCCATTTTTATAGATGAGGAAACAGACTAACACTTTAAATAAGTAGGTACTGAAGACACAAAACTAAGGAGTGATTATTCAGCTGTTGTTAGTTGGAGAGCTGGGATCTGAACTTGATCTTGTGTTTTCCAAATCTTACCTTCTGTGTTTTGTGTGTAGAGCTGGGTTTTTTTGAGTCTGATATTGTATGTTATTTGGACTTTGATTGTGTTTTTAAAATACTGTGTGTGTGTGTCAGAGAGAGACAGAGAAACAAAGTATGTACAGGTGTGCAAATGTCATATGAGAAAACAAGGGGAGGAGAGAGAAGAAAGAGTCTGATGGAAAAGGGGAATTTTTCTTATATATACATTTAAATCTCATATTAAAAACAAGTTCAGTGGTGTACATATAATTAAATTTTGGAATAAGGGAGAGAGCAAGAGGTGTTTTAAGTTCTATGTATTTTATCCTTTTGTACACATGATCATTTTGTATAATTAAAGAGGATATTTGCTGTTGTTTCTGGGCTGTGATATTATGCTTATTAAATGTAGATCGATCAATTAAAATTAGTTACTAGCAACTGAAAAAGTTTAGTATGTAGAATTACAAACATCAGGGTTTAACATTTTCAGTTGGTATTTTGTGCATGATAGTACTGTAATTTTAGGAATGTTTTGTTTTATTTGTAGAATAATTTTGGTATAATTTATAATATACTTAGATTATATAAAATATTATACATATTTCCTCAAGAGTAACCTGTTTCAAATAATTGAGCCTAATAAGAAAAGCATTAAAATAAAATTCCCCAGTAAGATAAGGGTCATAATTTTTAAAACACTGGGAGAGAAAAAATTTAGTGATGTTAATGAAAAGCTAACAGAGGTTCTGTAGGAGGGACTGCATTGTATTATTTTGGAGGAATTAGCAAACTGTGGGCCTTGGGTTACATTAGACCCTCCACCTATTTTTGTTAATGAAGTTTTACTGAGCTCAGCTACTCTCCCATTTGTTCACCTGTCGCCCACAGTTGCTTTTGTGCTACAACAGCAGAGTTGAGTAATCACAACAGAGACATATGGGCCGAAAAACCTAAAATACTAATTGTCTGGATCTTTATATTGAGTTTGGTAGTGGAGCGGCTTTGTACACAGAACATACCTAGGTTCAGAGCCTGGCTTTTCTTGTTGTATATATAACCTTTGACACATCATTTAATCTTCCTGAATTGCAGTGTCTTCTTTGGAAAATGTAAATAATCATGAGATTATATGAGATAACACATGTAAAAGTATCTGGTGTATAATAGACATTCAGTCTGTGCTATATTTGATTTTAATGAAAGCTATCAGATCAAAGAAACAATTTTTCTTTGGCCCTTTTAATTTTACAGACAGTTTAACAGTATTAGTGGGAGGTTTATCACATACTTACTAGGGACATTTCAATACTCTCCAATACAGTGGTAATATTCAACTGAAGGATTAGACATTTGAAATTACTAAATAAAGGTTCCTCTCCAATGAAAGGTAGAAACTCTGGAAAAATTATTACTACCAATTGATTTTTTAAGTGGAAGTATTGATTACAGGTGATAATATTTGAATACTTAAAAATATATATTATATTTATATGCATTTTGGATGTTGACAGAATAATAGCAGCATAGTATAACTTTATTAAGAGATTACAGTCTAGGAGGAAAATACTAAAAATATGCATAAGTTGAGTTTTAAAAATTTAAAGCAGATTTTCCTCACAGCAATCAGTTGTAGAAGCAATACAGGTGATTTTTAATTTTTTAAAAACCATAAAAATATTATCCAGTGGGGTTACTACATAAAAATCAAATAATTAGCTCGCTCATATTGGTTATAAATAAGCTCCATAAATAGTAAGCAGTAAGTTATAAATAGGTCTGGGGACTGACAGGGTTATTCTTGTGGTGCTGAGCAGGAACTCTCAGCCCAAGTCAGAGAGTATCTTATTGGATTGAGTAGGATGCTTTCATAATTACCTTCACGTGTAGAGAAAAGAAACTTTTGAAACCCAGAGAGGTTATGTTATGACATTTCTAAGATTGTGTTGAGGAATTTAGTATGTTTTAATCTCATTTATGATAGATTCTCTGAATGAATGAAGTGATTTGATTTATGTATTATCAAATTAAGTACATTGAGAACTTTTCAAAAAGGCAATTTTGTGACTTTTAAATTCATGAAAATAGAATGTTTATTATTGGTGTTTCTTACTTGCTTGAGTTTACTGGAGTAAAGCTAAATTCTAGGACCAGAATCATAACTAAACCTGGAGAAAATGCAATATTTTGTAATTTATATATCTCCAAGTATTCCAAGAATCCGAAGCAAACCAAATGTTCAATAGGCACTGAACATTCATTGAAATAAACTCTAGTCATTTCATTGATTTAGATATCGATAATTGGAAGCTATATTACTAGCTGCATACAATGTTAGAATTCTAGTATCTTTCTGGATTTAATGGAAATCGTGACTGGTATTATAAATACCTCTTTATTTGTAGTAATGATTTTTTTATTAAAGTATTTTTCTGTTATTAGTTTGATATATTAACTTTCTTTTGGTTAGTATTTTCTCCCTTTTTACTTTTAGCTTTTGTCTGTTGCTATGTCTTGTGTTTGTGTCTTGTAGACATCAACTATTTCACTTTAAAAAATCCAGTGTGAGAAGCTTTGTCTTCTGATTAGAATACTTGGTACATGTTTATTTAGTATAACCGATACTAATTCTATCCTCTTACTATTTTCTTTCTGACCTATCTGTTCTTTTTTTTCCATTTTTCTCCTTTTTTTGCCTGCTTTGGAATTTTCAGTTTTAAAAAATTCAGTTTGTCTCATTCTGATGGCTTTTTCTTTTAATATTTTTCCAGAGATGAAAACATTCTTCCTGGATTTTTTGACATTTAATGAGATTAGTATTTTGGTCATTGCTCAGATATCACGTGCAGTGGCCATAGAACATCTCCTTATCATCATCATTTTTGGTATTGTGGGGTATAAAATAAATATAGAGCTAAAAGACATGATAAGACATTATTATTGCTGTTTATATATTATGTGTTATAATGCATATGTTATATGAAGTCAGTTTTCATTTAGAGTTAGCTAAATATAGATGCTTTTCCTAGGTCTTCATGCCTTCATAAATATCTAAATTTCCTTCTAGGAATTTTTTTCCTGCCCCTTGATGCATATTTACTAGGTCAAATTTTCCTAGTTTGGGTTCACCTGAGAATATTTTTATTTCTTTTTACTTTTTGAAGAATTTATTTGCTTAGCATAGAATTATAGGGTGGAGTTATTAAGGATGTTACCCCATTGTTCCATGGTTTTCATCATTTCTGTTATAAAGTTAGTTGTGAGTCTTACTGTAAGTTCATTGAAATAATGTATCTTGTCTTTGGCTGCTTTTATGATTTAGTTAATTAGTTAACTATTTTATTTGAGCTTTATTGAGGTATAATTGACATATAAAAATGTGAGTAATTAAATTGTACATTATGATGATTTGATATACATACACACTGTGAAAAGGTTCCCTCACCTAGCTAATTAACATATTGATCATCACCTTAAAAATTTATCTTTTTTTTAGTACATTTAAATTCTACTGTCTTAGCTAATTTCAATTATACAGTACATTGTTACGAACTGTGGTCATCATGTCTGATATTAGGTCTTCAGGCCTTATTCATCTTATAGCTAAAGATTGTACTACCTTTTAACAACCTCTCCCTGCTTCCCACGACCCCAGCTGCTGGCAACCACTTTCCTTTCTGTTCCTATGAGTTTAAACATAAAAATTTTTAAAAAAATAAATTCCACATATAAGTGATACTGAAAAATTTCTGGAAAATTTCAATTAGTATAATGTCATCAAGATACATTCATGTTGTTGCAAATGTTCTTATGGCTTAATAATATTCCATTGTGTGTATATATATATATATATATACACACACACATATATATATATATATCACATCTTTCTTACATATTCATCAGTTGATGGACACCTAGGTTGCTTCCATATTTTGGCTTTATTTCTTACATTTATCTCTTTTTTTTTTATGATGGCCATTTTAACAGGTATGGGGTGATATCTCGTGACTTTGTTTGCACTTCCCTGGTGATTACTGACATTGAGCACATTTTCATGTACTTGTTGGCCAACTGTGTGACTTCTTTGGAAAAATGATTATTCAGTGTCTTTGCCCATTTTTTAATTTAAAAAGTTTTTTGCTGTTGCATTGTAGCACTTTGTATGTTTTGGACATTAACCAGTTATCAGACAAATGCTTTGCAAGTACTTCTCCCCTCCCCATGTCATAGGTTGTCTTTTTATTTTGCTGTTGGTTTCC